GTGCGTGAATATATTTTTCATTCGGTTTGATTTGAAGTGTGAATATTAAATGCATTTTCACTGTACTGGTTTCTCCCTTGAACTTTTGGATGCTTGGAAGATTTATCTGAACAGAATGGCCATGCCTAAAATTCCCCTTGTATGTACGAAATTTCCAGCGTGTACTAGAGACTTACTTCTTCAAAAATTATGTCGGCACAATGATTCTGAAGTATTGCGTTCTTCTTTGTTTCACCCGTTTGTGGGTGGATCAGGCGAAGAATTTTGAGGAACAAGCTTTGAATCGTATCCGTGATTCGCCAGTGTGCGATTGGTGGTGAATATGCACAAATAAGTCTATGTATCTGAGAGAATTAACTACTCAGATGTTCGGCGGGTAATTACCGCGCGCATTGCTGTTTCTTGTCGGTTCCCGTTGAAAAAATTCTCACTCTGTCATAATTGCCGGTTGAGCGATCCATTTCTATGCGATGGGTTTCATTTGATGGGCCCATGTTTAATTAACTATGATTCACTTCGATGCAATGCCGCAATACCAGGGATTAATGGAACGGGTATTGGATTCACCTATTGCCTCGGTCGACCTCGCCGAAAAGCTTTTGCTGTGATCAGACATCTGTTTTTGCGTAGGCTACTATCATCAATCAAACGGCCAGTGGCTTTAACAATTTCATTTTTATTTCAGAATGATTAAAATAAATTTCATAAGATAAATAGTAAAGTGAACCAGATCTTAAAGCCAGCTCTTGATTGCGGCTGTTTTTCGTAGAAAACCATAAAAAGGAAGTGCGCCATCATCAATAATCAACTTGTCCTTCCAAGTCTTTCATGAGCAAAATCCATTCTGAAAATTTTGTGAAGGTGTTAAAAGTTGATCGGACTCGCGGATTGAAAATGTAAGATTAGAAAACATGAGTAATAAGAAGTTTCGTTGTTTTTCAAGTTTGAAAGTGCTAGTATCTCGCTTTAACTCAGATTTACGTAGTCCCGGGGAGAGGAAAACCGATAAGATGGCTCAATGATATGGCGAACAACAGCCTCTCGTCCAGTTACCAGCCCATGTCGGGTATAAGATTAGTTAGCCAGTTATTTGTTTTCAAATGTATGAACTATCGGATCAGACTTACCATCGAAATCAAGCGCGTTGTCTTTGTTATCATCGGCGTTGTTCAAGAATTCATCTACTTCCCATTCGAAAACTTTTTCTCCTGTTGCGTTCAGAGCTGCCTAAAAGAATAAATTTACTAAATTTTAGGCAAGAGGCCATGTAGTGCTAACCCTGTGATCAATAGCGAATGAGCGAGTCATCTTGCTATTTGCCTGAGCATTAATTGTGAAAAACTATTTTATAAATTTTCTCCGTTCAATTTGTCAATTCATTTGTCGATTAACAAAATTTGATTAATGGGAAGAAGTCAATTTAATCAATTAGTCGAACTCAGTCAGTATAGATCAAATGAATTTCAAGACCCTTGAGAGTAAACTGACGAAAATCAATGGGAGAAAATTTCAGCGTCATCTATGAAGTTTTCTAGAAATTCTATTCTATAAAGTGATTAGCGACTTACTGTCAATTCCTCTTTTGTCAAAAAACCATCTCCATTTTTGTCGTACCAGCGAAAAGATTCTTGCAATAACTTTTTAAATTCTTTAGATAAATCTTCCTCCCTTTTATCTTGAATTTGTCCGGATAGTTGGCGAGTCATATATCCTAGAAAATCTTCAAGACACATGGTACCGCCTGTAAACGAAAAGAAAATTCGGTCGTTGCTTATATATATATATAAGGTGACCGTACATTTGAACCCATGCGTATATCCACGGGTTCAATCTATATGCGGGTGCTAAAACCCATGGGTTAGGGTTAGTATGGGTTTAACTATCCGTGAAACAAAAAAAATTCCATAGGTGCAATAGCATACAGGTGCAATTGTCATGGGTTCAAATGTACGTGGGTTCAAATGTAATGGAACCTATATATAAATATATGTGCAAAAATTTCCTACGGGTCTCTAGAATGCACATCGTCTTTTAAGAGGTCTTGCTACAAAAGGTGATATTATTCATATGCAAAGTCGAATACAAAATAGGCGCACCACTTCCATTATCTTTAATAATTTCTGAAAGTTCATCATCCATTGGATCTTGTCCAAGCATACGCAAAACTTTTCCTAATCCCTCGTCATCGAGAAAACCGTCCGATTCAGTTGTGAAAAGCTCGAAAGCGGCAGTGAATTCTGAAAATCAAAACAAATAATTAGGAATTGACATTCTCTATTTGAAACTCGATGAAATAATTGTCTAAGAAACTTACCGTCTCTTAGTTCCTGTGTGAGTGCCTGTCAATTGAACGGAAAAAACATGTTAGATTGACATTTACGATAGTTATTATTCAAATATCTTAGTATGTGCTAATCTTACCATTTTTACGCGTTTGTTGTATCTTTGTTGTTTCGTTGGTAAAGATGTATCAGACTGAATAATTTTTGAAAGCTACTCGCGATTTTTATAGGGCGACGCGATTGAAGGTGATGATGTGTTCTCCACAATAGGTGCCAATTGCTAATATGTTTGTAACCATTCCATGTCACCTTCTGAGTACCTGTTGATCGATTTGCAATATTGCGATAGTCTAAAGGCAACCGGCAATATATGTAAACGATCGGTTTGTGTATTTCAACACCCGCGTACGAATCATTCCAAATATCAGATAAGCTCAAATTTCAATGCTGCGGCGCGTCGGTCCCGGTGGTTAGTATCAAAAAATAGTCATGAAATAAAGCACCCATGTTAACAAATTGTTATTGGGTCCGAATCGCCAAGTCATTTCTTGTCCTCTGACGCGAGTCTACTAATTTTCCAGCTCTCATACTGTTACTGGGTATCGTGCAGACGCTATTTAAATAGCGATGTTATCCAAACTTTTCGTATAGCAGACAGACACCGAACGAATAAATCCCCGACACTTTTAATTTCCATTTAATCTAATCAAAATACATCAAACAGCAAAATCTCAACTCATAATTTTAGTAAAATATTTCAGTTCGGTTAAATGAGCCCAGCAATTTAATAACTGGTGGAATGCAAGATGAGGATTTTGTTCTTCAGTCGGGTAACAAACTTAGAAATCTGTTGCACTCTGGCAACAGACATTTCGGTGTTTATGGTAGTTGATATGTGTAACAAACTGATACCGCCATAGCGTCACTGGTCACAATTAAAAAAAAATGCAAGGTGAGCAAGCTCGATAATCATAACTGCGAATGGTATGACTGTTTCCATCTCAGTTCTGATTATTTAATGCATGACAAAGAAATATTTACTACGCCATAAAAAGTGAATGAGTTGGGCCAGGTTTATCCAAACCCAGGCCCACATGTGGCCCGCAGCATCAGTACATGTGGCCCACGTCACATTTGCTGGGGATTTATAACAAATATCATTTGGCGTTGTTTCGTCATGAAAATAACCAGGGAAATCTTTTGACATATTATTACATCACTTGCGTCATTAAATTGACTAGTTTTATTGCTAGCTGAGACAAGATCATCAGCGAAGTCTAAGTCGGCTTTGCCTACTGATAGCTGTTTTGGCCAATCAATATACTCCCTGTCGGATTGTCTTTTGCAACCAGCCTAAACAGTAACACAATATGTTGCCTATATGTCAGAAAGTTAGTAATTACCCACCAATACCTTACATTTGGCAAAATTTAGTAATAAATCAATCTGCAGTGATTTGTAAGTTATTTTGTACACATTAGTTTGAAAAGAAAGCTGACCAATTCCAATAGATTTTTAACTGGCTGTGCTTGATATGTCTGCAATCTGTGTCGTTGCCAAAAAACTAAAATGCTGTACTCATCCAACCAAACTCAAATCTTTTAATAAAATTGTAAGTTGAGATTTTGCTGTTTGATGTGTTTCAATTAGATTAAAATGAAATTGAAAGTGTCGAGAATTTGTTTGTATATAAGACTGCTCTGGATTTTGCTTACCGATGTTTGAAAGCACTTACATTTGCGAACGCACTTTCCACGTTATGAAGAGACTGAACTCTAGTACTAAATGCTGACATACAAAGATTAATCGATGAAAAATATCGATGAAACGTTAAAGGTGTTCGTTTTGTTTTATATTACGATGTTCACCTATTACTGGCGCCAATGTGAACCGCGAACAATGCAAAAATAATTTTGCGGTCCTCGACGCCGACAACCGTAATCGGTCCGTCGTCGGGCGCCATCGAAGGCCCGACGAAATAGCTGTACACTGTAGATCCTCTGTTGGTCGCCAGACCATGTTATCTGGGATGTGGCATGAAAACGCCTCTGCACTTTTCATTCATTAGAAGATCTGGAAACACCCGGACTTACATTAGTGCTAACCTAAGGTAGGAATTGTTCGTTTGTTTTACCCAAGTGGTGCTGATGTCGCATCAGCGTTCTACCATCGGTAGACGCATCGTTACAGCTGGTTGCCACTCTTTTTCCTCTCGAAATTGAACATTGAGTCATTGACCTTTATTGCATTACTTGATATATCTATAGCACTCCTTACAAAAAAAAATGTTCAACATTTTTTTTTCAAATGCACCTTTGCGGCATTTGCAGTTAGACATAAATTCTTAAGCCTTTTCCATCACCATTTTACTCTATTCTTGAACGATTTTCCTGCCTTGCTATCAAAAATCCTTCCACCAAATGAACCAATCGAGATAGATAAAAATGCGCGCTTGTATACCTTGGATAACTTCGACAGCGAAGTAAGTCTTTAGAAAAATTCTTTATAAGATATTGTTGGATACCAGTGGCCGCTTTTATCTAGTCTTGTTCGAAGCAAAAGGCACGAGTAAGCGTCATATTACGTCATTATACAAAAAAATATCTGTTTGAAATGCGAACATTGGCATTACAATCTATTGTGTGCTCATTGACCTCTGATGAGTTCAGATTGGAGTTTACTCCGCTAATAATACGGAAGTAAGGACACGCAGATAGGGACATCCACCCCCACAATGTAACAGTCATAGGCATGTCCGCTAAACTTATATCTGCGCGAAGCAGGCGCGCAGCCAGGATTTTCAAAGGGGGGTGGGGGGGGTTCATAATCATAAATTCCCATTGCGGTCTGTAACAGTCTTCGAATTACGCGCTCGTTAAAGGGACGTCTTTTCAGCGTATAATGATTATTCTTGTCGCGTGAAATATTCAATCTCTGACAACTACAAAATTCTAAAATGTCTTTATATATTAGTTTAATTGTGTCCAATGTAACTCGCGGTTGCTTCTTCTTACGTCAAAATTAAAACATTAGTTCTCTGAAATGCCACGGAATCGGTGGACATAAAAATATGAGGATAAACGGTGTATTTAATTTTAATACGTATTTTTGGAATCTTGCCAACTCGTTATCGCCGTTAGAAAAATCTCAACAACTGATATAAAATCCCGAAAAGTACAATTTTATTTCGTACAATGAAAATGCGTATGAAGTATATGGTTAAATCAAAAATACATATTCATCGCCGCGATTACGCCACTTGTTAAAAGAGCCGACGTTTACAGTGAAAAATGATTTTTCTGTTGTGCAAAGTGATCAATTCGTGACCGATAAGGGCATATTCAAAATGTCTTGCTTTATTAATTTAATTGTCTTCAATTTAACCAGCGTTAGCGTCGACAAAACAAAACAATTTTTTACAATTCACAATTTTAAAATACCTCGGCCATTTGCCGACATAAAAATAAAAATTTGTGGAAACTGCCCGTCGCCTATCATATATTGTTTTGATCCGTATTTTTTCTATTCTGCAAATTCGACAAATTTGAGATGTGCTTGTAACATTGACTCCGTTCAATCGCAATGCTGACACTCCGATTATTTTTAAAGATGAAACCTCCTGAAAAATCCGTAAATCTGCTGTGAATTCTCATGGAGTAAAATTTATTTCAGTACAATAAAAATTGATGGATATACTTCGGATTAATTATCTTATATATCATCACAAACCGGGAAAAAAATCGCGTTTTCAACCTTGTTTAATGATTACACAAAAATTTTCTACGACAATTTTAAAGTAATGGATAAAAGGCAAATCCCACCCACAATTAACCGTGTTTCGATTTTAGTGACGGTATGTTCCTAAACGGCGACCAAACATGATGTGCGCCATAGGCACACGAAATTTTGCGATTTTGCGACTAGAAAAGCGTTTTTAGACTGTCGCGGGACTCAACAAAACTTATATTGTTTACGGTTTTATTTTCAGTATTTTATAATGCCGCTTTTCAATCAAATTTAGATCGCGGTTTTACTCCTTCTTTTGTCTTTAGAACCTCGCCACCGATGAACGTATAATAACTCACGAATTCACAATTCCGTGCAAAGCACAAAAATAAAATAATTATCATGTTTATCGTGGCACAAATTTATGATTTAGAAAGAATAAAAACCGAGGTAAGGGCGTTTACGGCCCAAATAACACGCTGATGAAAACATGGGCGATTTTAGCAGAAGGCAATTGCACGCTTTTTCAGTTTTCACATCTCCGTGCGGGTAAAAATAGTTACCATTGTTCCCGCAGCACAAATTTGTGATTTAAAGAGAATAAACACCAATGTAAAGGGCGTTCACGGAATAAATAATATGACGCGTTGATGAAAACGAACGGCGATTTCAGCAGAAGGCAATTGCACGTGTTATCGGCAACTTTTTCACTTCCCCCTATGGGTAATTTTGCATAATTAGTAGACCGACACTGCTCTAGTGGGCCAGTACCTGGTCTGAAACCCATTTTGCATCCGGGGAGCCGAATATCGAATGCTTACGTCGCGGTTTTTTATTGAATAGCATTTTGCAACATATATAATAATAAGTCAACGAAACCAATCCATAAACTAACTGCAACGAGTTTGAAACAATTGCATTATCTTTGCATCTACGTGCATTTGCACCCGTAAACTACATTCACACCGCTTACAAATTGCACCAAACGACGTTTGGCCCATGGACGTTTGCACGCGTATACATTTGCTTTCGCGTTCATTTGACCCGTGGACAATTGCACCAATGGACATTTGCGCATACATATATCTGTGCTAGCAAACATTTGCACCCATGGATATGCATGCATTTATGCCCATTTGCACTTGCATCCATTTGCATCAGGGTCATTTTCACACACGAATGTTTGCGTTTCACGAAAGTTTCATTTCATGCTCGTGAATTATTTGGACTCCCAATTCTGGACAGGTTAAAACATCTCGCGACAATATTATGGAGTACCAGCTCACGCAAGCAAAAGTGTATTAAAGTTAACTCGCTCCATGTAAATTTTGCCTTGGTCGAGTCGAGAGCGTTTGCTATTTTGGCTAACCTATGTTTATATGTTCGCGGATGCAAGTCTCTATGGGTGCAAATGTACGTGGATTGAAATTCCATGGGTTTAGATATACATTGCTGCACACGTCCACATGTGCAAAATATGCGAGGGTAAAAATTCTCACGAGTGGAAACGTAGGTACAAAAGTAGGCGCTCCAGAAGTATGTACACCAAGATAGAGGACACCGGAACGTAGTATGTGTGCCAGGGGGCCATAATTTCAGGTACAAATACTACAGATAGTCACCTTGGTAGTCCCCGAACTCGTAATATAGCTAAAATAAGCAAAATTGGAATAAAATTATGGCCTATCCCTAACCTGGTACACATACTACGTTACCGAAAGTATGCAGGCCTTGTCTACGGATACAATTGTCAGCGTTTGGAACTATGGTAATCGTGATAATAAATCTTTGTACGCGGTAATAAGTTGGCCAAAAACTAAATTTTATTTTGATTTTCATATCGCTTTCAAAAGTGGTAAAAATTAAAAGTCATAAAGATTAAAACGGCAAAATAAGCATAAGATGGTGATATCATTTGGCGATATGAATTGAAAATATTATCTGGAAGATTTTCGTCATCTAATCGCGTTAGAGATCAGAAGTAAAAGATTGGGACTTTATGTGAATATTATACAAGACATTCACTTTCTCTACATGTATAGCATTGGGTGAGTCATATCTATTAGCAAATGAGGTCATAGTTCTTTATTGTGGGATGATCAAGATGCCGTAAGTCATTCATGCCTTTCATACACCGCTTACGTCACATCTTCCGCTCGTGCCTGTCGTTTATCCATCGTGGTTCTAAAATTAAAGAGGGCTATAAAGTCAGAACACATGTCTGCCTGACAGATCAATGACTATTCCCACAATTTAATAATAATAAATAAATTTGTCAAAACACTATTTAAGAATTTATACGTTACTTCGGACATATATTACTTTCGAAATACAGAAATTTAACTACAGCTAATTCAACTACTTGCCTAAGGCCCGGCGTGAATTATAAGACGCTCCCTTAATAGTCGTGGGTTGGCTTGTAACTCTAAAAGCTTGTAAATAACTTAAAAGTAGCTTCTCGTCGCGCACGCTCATCATAGCAGTCAAATTTTAGTGTCATGTCTGGGTCGAAAACTTATCTCAAAATGTCAAATTTCAAACTTTTTTTGTGCGATATATTTTGAATAGTTGTATAAAAAACACGAGTGCATTTTTGCCGTGTGTAAATGTAAATGAATTCAATTAGTAAGACTCATTCCAGATGCATATGAAAACGTAAATTGTAAGCATAGGTCAATAAATTATACCAATCTCATGATTCTGAAAGTAAAGATTTCGTGTCAGCTGTTGCCACGTCAGTTTCTAAATTCGGAAAGTCAAATATCACAGCGGGGTGTTGCGGGTTTCGTAATGCATCAACAGAGGAACAGTTGATATAGACTGTATGGCCGTCCGACTCCATTCCATACCCATCGTGTATGTGACCAAATAAGTGATATTTTGGTTTTACCCGAAGCTGAACTTCATTTAAAAGATCGACGCATCCCGCCCTAGTGCCTCTATTTACTTGATCCAAGCGCCCTGCGGGAGGTCCATGTGTCAATAAAATATCTATGTTTTCTGGAATGTTTTGCCACTTCTCCATAATTTCTTTACCTCGTTTCAGGTTGAATGCTAAGCTCCCACAATTGGGTTGCCAGGGTGACCCATATATCCTAATTCCATTAATAGAAGTTTCCGTATCCTCCAAGTACGTACAGTTTGTCAATACGGCTTGCCAGCTTCTCCATATACTTTCTGGTATATTTCTGTGAACTCGAAATCTCATATTTTCCGATTTTTTTAAACTTTCCATTATTTCCTTGTCAAATGATATTTCGTGATTACCCGCGATGACAATCTTATGCTTATGAGGTAACTTGCCCAACCAATCGTTAAATTCTATCACCTCCTTCATAAATCCCCTTTCTGTGAAATCGCCACAATGAATTAACACGTCACCATGTGGTACATGCATCCTTCTGTGAGTTGAATGCGTGCATGATATACAAACAAATCGGGTGTGTCCTTCAGGAATTGGCGAGTCTGGAGGCACAGATGTTACTTCATATCTCGATAAACGATCCCACTCTTTATCTCCCGTGTTTTTTTGTAAGTTTTCCAAAAATTCTTCTGGATTTTGTGAGGGGGTATACTGAAATATATCGGCCACATCCGATCGCTCTTCACTGCGACGTATAGTATGGAATAGTCTGCGAAATCTAGCCATAATTCCCGGTCCTACCGTGCCTGTTAATCCGCTAGTTGCAGGCGGTAATGATTGTTGTTCTTCACGTGGTTTCACATGATGCTTCGGCTTGTTTGTTGGAGTCTGTGGCCTCCTGTAAAAACTCCGCTCCCTTCCGAAAAAGCTAAATGAGTGCATTTTAAAAATTAAACTAAGAAAAATAAAATCTAGGTTAAAATAGATAAAAACTGTTTAGATTTAGACAATATAATATATTAAAACAATCCAGATTTCTACGCATTGTATTTTCGATGTTGATTCACAAGCGAAAGCAACTCGTTGTTACAATGATAAAACGACCGATATGACGAGACAGACATGCTTTACATGCATTGTCGGCATCACTTCTTCCGGTAGCGCGTACTCATTCTTACTACGTCATCTCATATGTCGCAACTCATTGTTATTAGATAGATCACAAATGGATACTTTCGTTGCTGTTTAATTTAAATGAATCGAGATCGTTTTTTGTTTATTTATTCTTTCATTTTATCAGAAGGAAAGATCTCTGTGGCTACTACTACCTACTGCAGTATACACTGAAAGTGCTAGCACTTATATAATTACGTGAATAGACGCGTGGGTTAGCGTGGTATTCATTCATTATTAAGCGGATAATATTGTGATAAGTCAAGGATTGTAGGTTTAGAGAAATATTACCAAAATTGCATCGCGCAATGGATTTTATCTCCGACACTTGGCTTAGTACAGTAAAAAATTTAAAACTAGATTATGTATTGCAAACGTCAACAAAAATAGGTCTCGGCAATCGGCATTCAGTACAACTTGGCTGAAAATGCAAGTAATCTCGTACAGTGCAGACAGACCTGTTTGTGCCAAGTCTGAATGCTAGTTTTGGCCGACTATTCAGCAATATATCGACTTGGGTGGATTTCAGGCCATTCGCAACTTAACGAAATGGTACGGATACGAAAGTTTCCAATATAGTCGTGGTCTATATGTCGATACCTGTGGTGCTAATTTAGAGTTTCATATTTTCAAAACCAAGCATGAAGCACATTACATTGTATAAGCTATAAGGGTACAGATACTCTTATTTCCGAAAAATAGGCTGAACATGTTCTGCTGAGATCGTGTGACTCTCACTTTTTATCTCAACGTTCGCTTACTTGTCTATGTACTAACTCTAGAGTTGTTATCTACCATACCACACATAACTGTTCGTCGAAGGTTCCGGTTTAATCACGTGAAGACGGCTACATATGAAGAATTCTGGTTCATATCAATGTTATATATACCACAAAAACGTCCAGGGCCTACTGCATCACACTGTCAAATTCGGATAAGCGGCCAGAAAACCAAGGTTCCTCTATATTATATGATAGTTATAAGCTTACTTTCATTCGGGTTTAATATGAAATTCCATTTTCATTCAACGTAAGAGTTGTTGCTGGTGGTTCAGGAAATCATCGACATCCTATTTTTACCAACAATAAGCCAGTGTGCTTAGCATTGTTTTGTTTATGCGAGAAGTGAAATGTTATTCCAGTTTCATTCCCGTAAGAGTTGATGCTTGTGGTTCAGTAAATCACAGACAGCATATTTTCACCAACAATAAGAAAGTAGGCTTTGCATTGTTTCGTTCATGTGGGATACACTATACCTTCCGAAAGTCGTGAAGTGGGAAGTCGTTTTTTAACGCGAAACAGAAATATGACTAATATTGTTTATATATATCACATTTATTTATTGAATTCAAGCTATGTCGAGCACGAGACTATTCCAGATAAATGTTTTGACAAATGTCTTTATACTCTTAATAAAAAGGCTGAAACCTTTTCTATCAACTTCTAAGTTCATCCTTCATTGTCACAAATTTCAATCGCATTATTGTGCTATTGTGAATGTGCCTGCACTAAAAATTTGTCGTTGATATTATACCGTATTTATCTTATAATATATGCTGTGTACGTAGAATGCGAAGTTCTTAACTATTTCTGTCAGGCGTGATTGTATAAAGACGTAGACGTAGTATTGTATAAAACTTTAGAGATAAAGGATCGTAGAATCACAGACCCATTTTCTGCCATTGATTCAATTTAAATCTCTGTGTAAAACTATCTAAACATCCCCCTCAAATATAAAACATCATTGCCGTCAAATATGACGTGGTGCAAAAACCCAAGTACGAACTACCTATTCCACCTATATGTAAACTGTGTATTGCATCGGTCTAAAATCTGAATAAATGCAATTTCCGCACCCTGTATTTTTAGCGTCTGTAATTTTTTTTGTTCAGTCCGTCTTCCAATTAATTATAATTGATCTGGATTTGCGTCATTTCCGGCTATTTCAAAATGCAAACGTATCTATTCTTTGATTTATGATTGCATAGTTCGGCATGGTGCGTCTAACAAATGACGTGATGCAAGCGTTTGTGAATATACTCAACGCAAATCAAACCAATTACTAATTGGATTTGTATTTTCTGCAATAAATCCAACTACAAAAGCTTAATCAAACATTTTTATACATAACCTAGACTAGAATACATGATCATACATCCTCAAGTCTATTAGTTTCGCAAAAATTCTGTCTGGACGGTGCGGCACTGAAGATTGTCAGATATGATACAAGATCCACGCCCAATAAAATAAAATTTACATACATAGAAAGGAGTGAAGATAAATGCATCCACATAAGTTTGCCAGAAAAGACCAGTGGGAGTATCTCGCGATTTTAAAGTTAGCACGAGACAATGTCAAAGTTCTATACCAGATATTATTGATTTGGAATAATCCCATGCATGAATTACGCGCTGATTTTATTCATATGTTATCCTGTGTTTCAAAGGCTGTAAGAACTTTATAAAAATGCTGTACGACTATTGCGCATAATTATTACAGCCAGGATTGTGAATAATATGTGATGTATCATCAATTCCGCCATTTCAGTTTAAAATCATTGATATTTTACCGCACTGAACGCGTGCTTTCTTCAACATAAACTGTAACTCAATTCAACGTCTGTTTTGTTTGCCACTCCACTTTCAGTGTCCTTTGAGTTTTGCATTTCATTGTTAGGTGTCGCCAACAAATTTTAGTATAGGTATTCATCTTTTTGAAGGTGTCAACCATCTGATGGCTACTAGTCAACTCATACATTCTTCGCATACAAATTTATAACTTTCGAACGATTAATGTCAGCTATTTGCTTACCTGATCTGTACTGTTGCACGGTTGTGGTTCACCATGTGATTAGGACATCTTATCGGCTTTCTGTCTAAACTAAATATCCTATGCTCTTGCCCCAACTTTGGCAATTTTATAGTTTTGTTTATTGCTGTTTTGACAATCAATACTTTATAGTGCATCTCTGATATTCTGCCTTCATGAATGGACGACAGCTTGACGTTGGACTTGTTTTTCCAGCCTGCTGGAGAAATGTCAGATGATAAATCACTTGACAATTTTTTCGAAAAATAAGATGCTCCTGAAATGAAAAAAAAAACATGCATTGCAATGCTTATATGCAAAATCAGAGCTCTGTGTAGAACGTTGTGACCGTAGTTCATATACGGTCACTGTGGTGACAGCATATTTGCATCCGTAAATTGCGGTTAGGGCATTTGCACCCGCATACTGTTGTACCTACCAACATTTGTATCAACAGATTTTTGCACCCATATATATAGGGTTACCATATTTTTGTGACTTCAAAGCGGGACGCCTCCAAAGACAACGACCCCTTGTGAGCTGTGATTTTTTAATTTACATTTCTCGATTTTACTACATAGGCCTACATTTAAAGCCATCCCGGCTGTACTCATTGACCATATTGCTATCGAGATTTCATGCGCATATTCTCTGTCTGAATATCGGGTTCAGTTCGAAAAATAGAAAGGAATTGACGCTAACGATACTGGTACAAATAATTCGAATTTAGATTTTTTATGTACAGCAAAAGGAAGAAAGATAGCCTGCCGTTTTCAAGCATTGAGAATTTACTTATTTCCCCCCAAGCATGCTTTTCCGTAGATAACGCCTTCGTCAAAAAGACGTTGTTCAAAGTTACATTCACGTAAACGTCAGAACAAGACCAATTAGTGTTGATTTTACATGTGATAGGGGAAAGTGGGTCACGTTGGGACATGGGGCACGGTGGAAAATCAGCTCTCACACTAATGCTATAGTCCACTGCTATCCGCTTTATTCCACTGTAAAATAATCATAACGTTGGCGAGTGGATGCGCCTTCCGAATTTCGTCGTGTGATGGTCTAAAAATAGTTGTTTCCTATGGGGAACAATGAACCGGGTTTCAGTGGGACATGCTCTACAGGGCACAATTTGACAATGTTTAATACAATAAGTGCTTAGAGACCTAGGCATACTTTATATTTTGTGTAATATTATGGTATATTTCGACCCATAGCCCAATATGAAATATATTCGAGAATCAAAAATATTTCCAGATTTAGATTTGAGAAAGGAAATAAATTAATTTGTTTGCGAAATTTTTTGTTGAAATATCTGAAATATTTCGGTTGAACCTTACAGGATTTACATATTTATCCCGGGGGAGAGGAAAGCCAATAAGACGGCTTATCCATATGACGAACCACGGCCTCTCGTCCGGTTTCCATTCCAAGTCGGGTATGGGATTAGTTATATTGTTTGTTTTCGGAAGCATGAACTTGGTGGTGGAGGAAGCCGTAACCGACCAGCGGTTACGTGAACCACCCAACGACGGCGAGGAGTCCAGCAATCCTCTTGCACATAACCATCCCTGCATGGGATTCGAACCCATGCAGTGTAATTAGAGGTGCGGTGGCGAACGTATTCCTAACGCTTAGCCCGTTGAGCCACACCGCCGCGCGGTGATTTTAAACATCTCAAATTTGAAGTCTCCATGTTCTTTGGAGTTAGACGATTATGCTAATTAATTGCTCATTTTTAAGGGCATACTTCGTTGAATTTTAACAGAATGACCCTATGTGCCCCAGGGTCTGTCCGAATGTGCCCCACAAGTGGGGTACAGTGGGACAATTGACAAACATTTTTCAAAACATTTTGGTGATAAGATGTGTGTCGCAAGGGAATTTCTTAGTCGCTTAATAAAAAACTACATTTACCCCTCACTGCATTAGTCCCGCAAAGTTAAGTGAAAGTGCAGATTAAACGGCTCAAAATCTGCATAGGGAAAAAAGTGTCCCAACCTTCCCCACTTTTCCCTACGTTACGGGAAACAACGAAACAAACAAAATAACGCATTCACCTCCAGCAAGTGGGCTAGCGCTGCGCTGCACAGCAACAACAGTAACGAGAACATGTTCGTGTATTATGGTGGACGGCTGGACGCCAAAGTCAGACTTTGGGCTGACTTGTCTTGACGGCGGGACAACACGCTAAAAACGGGACTGTTCCGCCTAAAGCGGGACGTATGGTAAGCCTACATATATATATATTGATTGCACCTGCGAACATTTGCACTCATGTACATATGCACTCATGTACATTTTCGCTCTAGACATTTGCATTGACGTGCATTTGCGCCAGGGACATTTGTACCCACGTGCTTTGCATCCATATACATTTGGACCGAAGGTTATTTGCATTTATGTACATCTGCCCCCATGGACATTTGCACTCAAGGCTGTGATAAAACTTCATCGGACCAGAAAACACGAGGTCATAATGCCCGTTACTTGTCGCTAGACTACTATCCTGTTTTTTTATATTAACGGGTCTACGATGAAAAAGATTTCATGGGTCGGAAAATTATCCAGTTAATTGCTACAAAGTCGAATCTCAATGCAGCGCAATCCTCCGTGTTTTTTTATATGATAAATCGAGTAAATGGCGGAGTTACTGGAGCGCAGAAAAAGTGGCTAGTATGAACCAATTGACAGGGCCTATTATGCAGTTATTATGCTACCGTGTGTTCATGCAATGACCATTTTATAGGCCGGAATTAATACGTTGTGTTCCTATAAACGAAAAAATTGTTGGGGGGAAAGAGGCGGATACGTCCGCTCCTAAACTAAGACACATAAATATCTACTGCTGTCTTGGTCTTGAAAAAAATACGTCTGCCACCTGGTTTTGTGGAACTTTGTCTCTTCTAACGAGGAACAAAGTTTTATAATACTAGCATGCTCATTTCTATTCACGATTGAGAGTCACGGCTTCTTTTGCCCTGAGAGCTCCAACAACCTTGAACACAAATTTCATTATTATTCCAGTACCCTTTTACGGCATCGAAAGCTATACATGATTGTGGTGTAACAAATATTTATGGTAATAGACGAGTACGTTAACGACGTCAAATAACTATCTCAATGTAAGATAATTACTAATTGTGTCGTAGGTACTCTGGTCACATGCCCATTTCGCAGCTAAAACACATCAGTGCGTCGAAGATTTCATCTAATATAGACGCATATTGCGCACCCGTCACACAATCGAATGGATTTTAAAAATGGAAACGATCGCCATACCATTTTACCAAGACGGCGTTATTCGTTCCTTTTCCATCCGATGAACCAGAAACCTCGCAGGTTGCACAACAGTGACCAAGCTACCCGTAAATATTTCCGGAGTCTTGTCGCAAATAGGAAAAGAACATGAACACCTTTTTACATAATTATGAACTATGTATATTGTATTCTTTATCAGGGAATACATTGTCCTGCCCGTGCCTTGACAAGAAACAATTGAAAATAAACAATCGTGAAGAGCTGTTTGCAGTATATTGTTCTTCGAACACAACTTATATTATTTACCATACTATAAAATATTGGATTTTTTCGGGATCAGGAATACTGACTCATCTATTCCAAAGATTTCGCTCTTGCAGTGCTTAAAATGACAATCAATAACCTTTACTTTGGTTAACTGTATATAAATTGACAGCACTGCAGTTAAAACTAATAAAATGTATACCATGCTACCTAATAATGATAGAGGCAAACGCTTTGACACAGGGAGCCAACAGTACTTGAAAATGTATAAAACAAAAAAATCTATTTATTCATTTGCTTAATTAGCAAAAAGTAATATATTACTTGAAAACATTGTACTTTTTACATTAATATGTTATAATTTGAGATGCAATCGATTAAAAATACCAAATCGACATTGAGTCTTCACCGCCTTGGGTGCTAAATCACGAAACAACTATCACATTAGAACAAGGTCCCTTCCCGGACAGGTGCATTTTTACAGAATTCACACACACACACTTGTGAGAAACACTGGTTACAAAAACTTAAAATACAAAAAATGTCTGTACAATATTTAGCACCCGCTTTTTGTCTTGAATTGGTAAAATTGTAGACATATGAAAGTGCATAAGATAGAAATAATATTTAAAACAAGTTGCAATTGTACAATCGCCCACAGTTGCATCTTGGAAATATCTAATTGATGACAAAACTGCTGGTCAGATGTACCCTTTACCATTAATAAGTAAAATTTGTTAGAATAAACTTAAAAAATGAATTCCTTGGCAACAAATAAAAAGCCTCAATTCAGCTTTATAGATAGAGACTCAGTAACACATAAACAAATAAAAATTTGAACTCTCTCACGTTTTGATTTAAAACATCACATACGAATGATGATAGGATTACAGATTAATTTTTGGTACTCTCGTAGTATGTGAACCAAGATGACGAACACCAGAACGTAGTATGTGTACCAGGTTAGGGGTTGGCCATAATTTTATTCCAATTTACCTTATGTGACTCCCAAGGGATCCCTGTAGTATTCGTACCTGAAAATATAGCCTAACCATAACCTGGTACACATACTACGGTTCAGTGTCCGCCACCTTGGTTCACATACTTCGGGAGTACCTAATTTTTAATATCATAAATGAAACTAACAGTGAATATCTAGACTGAGTGAATCTAACATCTATTTAGCTATTGCAGTGCTTAGTCAAATGCGCTTAAAAATTAAATTCGTATATTCCATTTGATTTTGCATAGTCATTCCCTGTAACTTTGATAATTCACTCAATGTTGTGATTTTTTGACCATTCGTAGTAATAAGGTAAGTGTGAATATTCAGTTGCAGGGGAAGCTGACATTACACATAAAATACTCGAACTCGTGATTGACTCACAAGAAGATCTTCATCATAAAAGTTGGTTTCTATAATAACATTTCCGCTGAAAAAATAAAAGCAAAATCATGTAAAGAGAATATGATAATCGATAGCTAGGATCAAGCAAATACGTAACATCCACAGAAATCTCAAGCAACAATAGAGCTGGATTGTAGTGACTATGATGCGGTTAAAATACTATTGAAAAATGCAAATATTTCAGACTGTAATGCTCTTCCAAACCCATTTAAAACCACAGAAAGATTGCCGCACCATTTTGGCAGTTCATAACAATGCAAAGCGCGCTTTTGAGTAAATGGACTACCAGAATTGCCTCAGTCCTGATATGAATGGTGCATGTGAAAGCATGAAAGTACACAATACCAACAAAAGATTATAAGTAAATTTGCAACAGCAACTTTCTCATTGATGCCAAATTTTTTTAAATAGCTATGACCCATGGTCTTCTTTTCTACAATAAAAATATAATTTTCAACCCATTTATCAGAAAGGGAAGTGTGTGTACCAATATGAAAGTAACCAATTTTGTTCGCTTACTTCACATCAAGTTATGTAAAGAGACTGAAAGTTATAGGCAGGGGGTATATTCACATGGCTAAATAGAACTAAAATAAGAAAAACCGGAATAAAATTATGGCCTAACCCTAACCGGATACACAAATACGGGAGTACCTTTGGGGTTGAATGTCTGCACTGGATAAAATGAAAGAGCAAACATCACATCCTGAAACATAACTATTTTCTATATAGTTCAGCATATGCATCCAATTCATTAAATTGATATTATTTGTACATTGAGTATTTCCAAAGAGCGGAACAAAACTTGTTAAGATGTTACCTTAAAGCACTAGCAGGCATCATTTGCCCCTGTGGTGCAGCTTCAATTGTCGACTGCCATGTATTTGTTGAATCAGGAATCACAAATCCAAATTGGAAATACCATTCTGCAATATAATGAATTATGATTCATACATTATCAAATACCACATTATAAAACTATTAAACAGTGGAAGATAAAGAAGATATAAACTTTGTTAGGCAGGTATGGTTCGATAATACAGTTGTTAGTACAAGAATTGGAGCTCCAGAAGTACGTGTATGGAGGTAACTAATTTTGTTCGCCTAATTTACATCAAGTTGTATAAAGGGACTGCAAGCTATGGGCAGGGGGTATTTTTACTTGGCTAACACAACAGGCCCCAGACTCGTAATAGAACTAAAATGATGAAAATCAGAATAAAATTATGGCCTAACCCTAACCTGGTACACACACTACGGGAACCAGTATCCAAGAATTTAACAAGAACATATTAGAAAATTATACCTATTCATACTCTTGCAAAATGAATATGTGATTAATTAGGAAGTTCAGAATAAATTAGTTACTATTCCATAAAACGCATGTATACTCAAAATGCTAAAAATCCCTCATTGAGTAGTCAGTTAGAGAGGTTGAGGTTTCTCAGTAAAGGGTCATCCACTCAACAGAACACGGTGAGTAACAACAATGTGTTTCACAATAAGTGATTGACTTAAAATGCCAATACTAGTTCAGAATTACTAAAAACAAAAATGTAGCAAAATATACCTTCAAGTACTCTTCCTTTGAAAATTATTTTTTGTTCCAGTCTGAATTTTTCCATAGACTCTTTTGAGGAAAAATTGATTTCTCTTGACACAGCTTTGCATTTCAATATTTTTTTAGGTACTCGAGCTAAAAATAATATTGATAAACAAATATAACAGAGGATGTGAGGCCACATATTACACAGCTAATTTTGAGCATAAATGACCTAATAAATTTTAATGACAACATCAAATTTTAAAGCCGCTCACCATGAACATCACTGCCAAAAAGTAACAAAAAAAATAGGCTGAGGTCTGCTAATCAATTTGTTTTTGTCTTGTGGTAGCCTTATATTTTGAAAACTGGACTGGAATTTCTTTTTCAACATTTGCTGTGGTGGCATAATGAACTTTTATCATCTATGATAATTGACCCAACTTAATACATATATTGCGCAATACAGATGGGGAAAAAATATTTCATCAATATTTTACCAATTCTGCAAACCATGTTACCTTCGTGCTCCTGCTCTGGCTTTGACAAATCTTCGCTGCCCTGCCATAAAACTCGGCCAGAACTGGCATCGCGCAAATTCATCCAATTTCTATAAATAAAAAGTTGAAAATTGATACATGAATCTTGAATAAATAAATATTTAAATACACAGAAGATTGTAGCATAGATTTTTTACAGATAGACAGTTATGATAATTCATATTTGTGTGCTATTTCTGTATTTAGTGCTGTTTACAGTCTGTGAATATTTACCTACAGCTCTTAAATAATATTTGCTGAATTCAGTTCCCTAAGTTATTTGAACAAAGTAATCAATAACAGTAAAAAAGGAAAACAGAAAAATTCTAAATCAAGATAATTTTCTCATAGAAAGCTCAATGTTGAGAATCAAGACGGATCATGAATAACCACAGCAGTGATTTGAAATATATAAAACATCAAAACCTGCAGTAAAATATTTCAAAACATATGCAAATATCATAAAGTACGGTACTGTATTACAATGAAACATTACAATTCCATTTTTATTTCGATCATCCAATGTATTTCAATCATTTAAGACTGCCTAATGTAAATATTGAACAAAAACTTACAGTTGAAAACCTTCCAATATATTTTTGGCCTTTTCTGTAGTCATATTTGTAATCCAGGTATTAAATTACCACGTACTAAGCTAATTTTGTCACTCGAATAACTCAAGTCCAGTAGTTCAAGCCTTTGTTGCAGATATACGGTAACTGGACAAGTAATTACAGTTTCAGAATACGGTACCTAATTACAAATGCTGTAATGTGACTATGTCATTATGTGTAGTGAAGATAATGCCATCCTACTAATACATATCCCAGTGCCCGTATTCAGTTATTTGTGCTAACATGACTAAGCATTTCTTGTATATATATATTCTATATATTGTTATTAAGAGTAGTGAAGATAATGCCATCCTACTAATACATATCCTAGTGAAGTGCCCTTATTTGTGGCTACAGAACTAACTTCACTACTTGCTAGTATAGATATAGACACTGCAATACAGCAGAACGAGCCCTTGGTTGCTATTTACTGTTAGACTGTAGAGCGATATACCCCAGGCAGTCAGACGAAACTCGAAAAGGCATCGCACAATGAGGCAAGATGGCGTCTTACTGACTGTCTCTCACAGTACACATTTTATAATGTGTAGGCCACGTTCAAACGATCGATAACTGACAGAAAAACGTTGCATACTGGTATGCAGTTTTCGGTATTGATAAATGGTGTCGAAGCGAATTCGATCGCTAGTAGATTAACATACAAATAGGGGATTATATCGAAACGCAATAATCCCCTATGCCTGTCACATTTCTGGCAAAGATTTGCTGTTGTCATGTTCCTGTGTTCGGTCGATATATATGAACATTTACAGTGAAATTTATCCTGAACATTCGTGAGCAAAGTGAAATTTGGTTTTCTTAAAGAGTACTCGAGCAAAAATTCAAAGTTACCAACAACAAAACCAATTAATCCAAAAAAAAATCCACGAAATTCAATATACCCATGAAGTCGAGAAGTCTACTCAAATGTGCAAGCCTTCAAACTTGCTCGTGCTGTCACAATCATCATTGGCCAAACGTAAATTTCTACCAGATAAAGCAGGGCTCCCCAAACTTTTGAGCTCGCGGCCCCTTTTAATATAGTAAAATTTTTCGCGGCCCTTGTCCACGTTAAATAATGCCAACAGTTCGAATTATGCCTTTTTGATGTTTTATTGGCAGAGCTAATTCTCAACTTTAACATGTCTACTCAATAACAAAAACAAGCATATATTTATTCAGATTAACGTTTCTCAATTATTCAGTGTAATGGGTACGAATGCTTTTTGCTGCATAGCAAGGCTCAATGTATGTTTATACAGGCCTAAATGATGAATTACGTTGTATGGCTACCGACGGCATGGTCCTTATCTCGAATTGTTCACTCTAATTGATCAAACTTAGCATAAGGCAGCATTTTGTTCGACGCCAAATTATCAGGGAAAAAACTCATGGCGCACCTACACGAAAAATATACTGCCTCGAAACAAAACACAATTTTGTCATCGTTAATATGAACTAAATGTCTTTTGAGGTTTTTAATCATGTACGCCCGATGAATAAAGGCAAAAAGTTAACGTTTCTTTTTTATCACTGCCTGGTTGCAGCATGTAGGGTTCATCTCTTATATTACGTAACAATAGACCCTACGTACAGAAAGTAAACACATAGAACGGCAAAATGACTTTGATCCATAAACACGTCATTTGAAACAATTAAACATTTAGAATAAATATGATATGTAATATGTTTCGAGGCGCACTCAGCAAATCGTCTTCGGAAACCGCTAGCATAACGATTAGAGCCGTCATTGTTATGCAAACCGCAAATCGGGTTTCACGATCAGAATATGCATTGTTATGCAAGCGCCATCATTCTACCGTGTTTCCCCGAAGATAAGACCAAGGTTGAATTTTAAAAAGATTTCAATATAAGAGCTCGGCTTCAAAAAGGACTTAGTCGATAGCGCGAATTTTTTTTTTTTTTGACTCAATCTCGTGGAAGTGCGTCGTTTTAATTTTGCTAGGACGTCGCAAAATTTCGTGATTCGTGAACCTTTCAAAAACCCATATCTTCTACTTTCACTGGAAAAAAGAAAGATTAAATCGATCCTACCTGTGATGTTGCTATAATAGGAATGTTTTATTCTGGAAATTCGGTTTTCTGTAGATAAAGATTATTTGTCCTTGGTTCCAAAAGCATTGCGCACTCCCAACTTCTTTGCGATTTCGTATTTATATAAAGCAGACTTTTCTACCAAGGCCCATTAATTGCGATTTCACTGACTGTCGTTAAGTTTTGTTTAATCGTTTATATGAGCATATTTTTGAAGGGCGTCACAATACAATGAAGTTCGAGAACCACTGCGTCCCAGTCGATAGCAAGAAATATTTTCTACTTTTTTAAATGGGTAAAAGTCTATATGTAGCAGGTATTTAAAATAAAAACGTGCTATTTATAAGTAAATGGAAATAGGTATTCATATTTTGCATATATATATAATAAAAAAATCTCATTATTCTGTATCCCAAAAATAAGCCCTAGTGTTATTTTCGAAAGAAAATTGGAGACAGTGTCTTATTTTTGGAAAAACACGGTATTATGATGATGTATTCACTCGAATCGTGAAATCTTTGTTTTACACTATTTGTATAATAATTGTATTTCGAATCAAGAGTCTGAAAAAAGTACAATAGTCAATATATATGGTATTTTGTGTAAAATTGGTGTTCTCTTTGCGGCCCCTAAAATTCGTTTCGCGGCCCCTAGTTTGGGAAGCCCTGAGATAAAGCACTAGTGTCGACATGATCTTTTAATAACAACAAATCGGTATGTAGGAAATATCCATGTCGAAGGACAGGGCCGGATTTAGAGTTTTTTTAGACAATGGAAGTCCTGGGTCAATGTTGTTTATTCCCATAAACCCAAGTCATACCAAGATCATAAATAGGTTATACATCTGAGAAAAGATATACGAAGAGTGTGCAGCATAAGTCTGGGTATCTAAATTCCAATACAATACAAAATTCAATCGGATACAACAATGCAAACGCGACGCGCATGGTATTTCGGCGGCCATGATCGTCGAAATAGATATTCACGTTGGGGACTCTACCAGAGTTCGGATCCTTTTCTTTTTGCAAACTTTCTACCATTCAATAGTTTTGTAGGCTCTTTTCTTCTGATTTTGAGTGTGGAAAGTTGCTATCCGAGACCGCTCACCAAATTTTTGAAAAAGGCCTATTTGACATAGGCCTAGGCCTAAGACATCCTTCAGCTGGCGCAATGTCTCAATTTACATGGTGGCAGCGGTGTCTGAAATTCGCTTACTGTCGATCAGGAGCATTCAAGAAATGGAAGAGCCAGATCAAATATTTTCATGAGCCAGCGGACCTAAAGGAAGAACAAAATCCCATAATCTCATATTGCAGGTGCTGAAATGATAGTGAGACTGAAGACGAAGATGACTACAGAAGATGGCTGAATACTAGGGCTGGGAATTTCAGGGAAAACACTTTAACCGTTAACCGGGTAAATTAACCGGTTAACCGCCGCGTGACGTTTGACGTAATAATCTATAATTTCTGCTTGTTACGTCTCAATGCTTATAAAGCAATTTCGCGTGTTCTTATCCCGGTATCGCTTATTAAAATTATTCACGAATCGAGATAGTTTCATGATTACTCTGCTGCAAGAGATAGGCAGCGTGGTTCGGGCATGTGGAAGTATTTTAGAATACCTGATTCCGTTGTTAAACGTCATTTATGTCACAAATTATCAGTGTTCGATGTGCAAATTTTACTTCGGAGTATATATCATATAAAGAAAAACGCCATCAACTGCGCACTTGTTGTATGACATTGAATATCCGATTTTGCAATGAAATCGTAAACACTATTTCGAAATCGACCGAAAACTGATTCTGAATTCATCATTGTCAGATTTCCATAATCAGCAATCTTGGTACTTCCATTATGCACAGTCCTTACTCACACAGTTAATAATATTCATTAAATGCCACAAGAGATAAATTTGCGATGACGTAATCATATTTGAAGAAATTGTACGGTATGAAGATGATTTGTACCTGAGATGTCAGTTAAGGGTTAAAATAAATCGTAACCGTTAACCATCTGAAATCGGTTAACCGGTTAACCATTCCCAGCCCTACTGAATACTATAATCTCCGGAAGAATGAAGTGATAGAGACATTTCGCTTTTTCAATGCCCAGTACAAAGACAATATTAATACATTTCTCGTTGAATTTCGTAGTAAAGCGATTCCTGTAATTTTAAAAAACAAGGTGCGAATGATAAGAAATGAAAAACGTATGTACATTGAATGGCAAATTACAAGAAATTCTGCATCCAAGATTCGTGCATCATCGGAAAGCGAGCAACGAATTTTGTCGACTCAAAATTTACAACGCCGAAATATGAACCTAGCTCAGCAACACAAAAAGCGAATTCCGAATGCAAACTAAGAGTTCAAATTTTGTGGACGAAGGCGCAGGTTCTGAATATTTTTGCCCTGTCTACGTGAAAACATGTCCCTCGTGCAATGATAGAAATAATTTCCGGGTGAAGTGTAGAACCTTAAGCCATGTTCGATAAATGAAGAAACATGACCAAAATAAAAACGCTTGAAGAAGGTGTCCAGAATATAAATAACGTCAAATCATCATATGTCTAAAACGTCATTTTGCCAGACATGGTATTTATCATGGATATTTATCTCAGATTGTGAAAGTACTGAAAGTACTGAACTCGTCGAATTCATGAGAGAGTGAAGAATCAAGCATGCAAGCTCTTCGCATGTGCATCAACAAGCGAATGGAAACGCTGAATCGTGGGTGAAGATTCTGAAGAATATGCTGAAAAGGACTACAAACACGAATGAAGATCAATTCATTCATTCATTCAACTCTTCTAAAAATAATCGTGAATCGTGTTGCAACCAGACCTCGTCGAAATCGTAAACCTCATATTTGGATGAAAGACTATGTGACTGAGTAGTGGCTTTAACTTGAATTTGAGTGTTAAATATTATTGCTCTCATTTATGTGCCTTGATGGTAATAATCATGACTTGTGTAATAAGTAAAAGTGAATATTTTCTATTTTGAATTTGAAAATAATTTGTGAAATTTATCTTAAACAAATTGGGATGTTGTCGTTGATGATGGCTAAAATCAGTGGCGGCGCGTCAATAGGGCCAACCAGGGCAATGCCCCGGTTGTTTTTTCGGTATAATAAAAAATATTCGAAAAATACCTCAATATCGGTTGCACAGACTGTCTACACCAGCCATATTCTCCCGACGTGGTTCATTTTTCGCTCGCAAAGCCTTCGCCGAACGTCGACGGGGCGACGCCGATTTTGCCCCGGTTGCTCATTGTATATCGTATTCTCTCTTTTATCTTCCACTCGCCGCGTTTGTTTTC